GGTTAGAGGAGATGACTGATGCGACAGCCATATTATACTATTATATACATTGTGTATTCATGGTTCACCGGCAGGTACTTATTTAACTTTGTATTGTAAAGGCCAAATCATTTTTAATCCTATATAAATCCTATATGACACGAAGATCATATGACATAATAATGAATGTTTATACTTTATTGTATACAATACACAGATCAAGTTCTAAATAAACTATATAGACGACAATAATGTACAGGTAAGTTATTATATTATAATGCATTTCAAATTTCTAATAATCTTTCGATTAAAAATATAAACACAAGTACCTAGGTGTATTCAAAATAATTTAGGTAAATATAGTATATAAATTCTATTCATTTTGTTTATTTTGTCGAGGAGATAGTGTTCAGTAGACTATAAACTTTAATAGTATAATATATTATAGTATATCCCTAAGTAAACTTGTCAGTTGTACAGGGTCAATCCTTATTTAACACAGCTATCAAAAATAAAATTAAAAAATGGCTTACATTATTTAACCAGATTTAAACACTTAAATTCTAATTTAAGCTAAACCGCATAGATCCCATGTTTAAATTTGTCTACGAACATATAGGGAGGGGCGAGTGTAGTTCACGCTGCAATAACACTGAACCGTGTCGTGTCGCATCGTAATACAAAGTTACAATAATATTTAAACTATTTGGAATTGGAGGCAGGGCGTGTTAGCGACATGGTATTAAGTACCTACCTATTATAGAATTGTATATAAGTATATTATTATACTCATATAGCCATATAGGTAGTCATATACGTGCAACAGATTATGCCGTTATGGACCCATCATCGTATATAACTTTGACAGAAAAATACTACATTCAGGAATTGTAATATACAAATACAAATATTGAATATACATCGGTGTGATTATAGTTGTACATTACAATTTATAATACAATTTATTCAACGTGATTTTTATAAGGAAATAGCCAATAAGTTTCAGCCCTCTTTAATAGCTATACATTTTCAATCTGCGCCAAAGCTTATTTCTCCTACCTATAGCTTGTTTTCTCCATATTTACCTTCACACACTCCACATGACCCCATATAGAATGTTTTTGTTTATATCACAAATCACGATTCAATATTTTCTTTTAATTAGATGACTACCTATACTGACAGTGGTAATCGGACAAAATATATAACTTGAAAAAAGTCCGATAAAAAGTCTTGATTTTACTATAGGAGAAAAAGTACCGATACATTATTTTGAGTTTGACAATAATTCCAAAATGAAAATAGTAAAGGTGGAAAGTAGGTAATCGCTCTGCTGTATACAGTAGGTGGCAAGTGTACGTATTATAGTCATTGAGTAGGTCACTGTAATGGATGTGTTAAATTTGAATTCAATGATATAAAATTGCATACGAAAAACGATTCTGAGCGGAGACTGCAGCATATTATATTTATAAGCATTTTTATGATACCTATATTAATATATAGTAATTTATATTACAACTAGTAATAGCTATAGGTAGGTTGAATTAATTTTTCTGGTTGCATTTTAAAATTACATTGTGTGTGACGTGTGTATAAGATATAATAATATATGTTACAAGTTTCAAGTACCTATCCAAGATTAAGAATAATATTTTTAAATTAAAACAAAACAACTAAAATTGTTATTTTTGTTGTTTACAAATCTGACTTATATATAGGTACCTATATAAAATAATATATATATTTGTTGGTTCCAGTAAGATTAAGTATGAACTATATTCTATAATAGGTACGTCTTATAAGTTATAAGGAACTTGTATATTAAATTTAAAAGTTGTAGACTGTGCATAAATCTTTTTCAAGAATCGATAATTTCAAATATCTATATTTATAGCTCAAATTCGACGAAATATTTTAAAAATGTTACCATTTATAAAAATGCAACTTATTTTATTACGACCAAAAAAACCAAAATAAATTTTGTCGAAAACCGGTTTTGCGTAAAATTTCTCATTTTTCCTTAATTTTTTTTTGTTTTTCCCGAATTTTTTGAAAATAAATACCAGGAATTTATAATTTTGACCTCTAAAGTATTAGCTAGATCAAATTTTCTACCAGATATCTCCCTCAAAGTTTAAAATCGAAGCATTGTTTCTACTAATACTATAAATTGTGTGGAGTTATGCAGATTTAAATTTTTTACACTCAGTCCTAAATGGTTTTCTGGACGACCCTGATCGCCTTGCTTCCATTCCTTTCCGAGTTACTTCTCATTTGTCCAGAAACCAATCCCAATTTTATGTTACAACTCACAATACCTCTAATGATCATAATCATAATCTGCATCGCATGCTCAGAGCCTATGGATTTTTAATATTTTTCATCTGTCTTTGAAAAAATATATTAAGAGCCTCCTATTAAATTTTCAAGCTTTATTGCCCAACAAATAAAATTTTATTGATATTTATAGAATAAAAAACTAAAAAAATTGGTAACTGAAAATGTCCCTAAACAGCTCAAAATAAGTCAAAATATTTGGAAAATGTTATGGTGTATAGAAAATGCTAATATAAAAATTCGGTAAAAATTTCATGAATCTTTGGTCATTTGTTTTAGAGTTGCGGCAAAAACCAAAATCGATTTTGATTAAAAATTCCCGTTTTCCTTAATTTTTCTTTTGTTTTTCACGGAGCTTTTGAAAACTACTAGGAAGTTTTTACTTTTAACCCTCCAAAGTACCAACTAGATTCACTTTCCTATCAGAAAAGATACTGTTGAAGAAAATCCAAGCACTTTTACTGTCCTAAAAGGGATGACAGACACGACAAAAAAATTTAAAAACTCACATCATTGTAATAATATCGCATCATCCGCTCAGAATCTAAGACATAAATTAGAATAAATATAAAATTACAACATTGAGTAATAATGAGATGACAACAGAATTATTTTTAAATTGTATAGGTGATTGTTTGAAAAAGTAATTTATTGTGAATATTATTTTTATTTTTTATATTTTAACTTTTCGTAAATATTAACCTCTATTTGACTTTCGATTTTTTCTTATATTTATTCGTAGGCGACAATAATATTTATAAATTTTGGTTATAAAGAATTAAAATCGAATATAATATACCCAACATATTATGGAAATTAAATACATATTTTTTCTATTTTTTTAAATTAAAATTTTGTCATTTGAAAAATTTTGTATTTTTGAACTTTTTTGTCAAACTCGAAAAATGTATCAGGACTTTTCTTAAATCAAACTTTTCGTTCTTGGTTCATGAAACTAACTGAAATTTTATAGAATTTGAAATGTTACCAATTAAAATGCATTTAGGTAGACATAAAATTTTAAAAATATTTAGTTTAACACATTTTTTTTTAATTAAAAAATATTTACCTCAACACTCTTTGTAGAAAATGCTTCAATCTTTCTTATAGTTAGAATATAAGAAAAAAATATATGAGTAGGTACTTACTATATTGCTTAAAAATGCAAAATATAATAAAAATAATAATGTCAAAAGTCAAAACAGTAATATAGGTAATGTACCTACAATTTTTTTGACTAAAACATTTTAGTATTTTTAAATAAAATTAAACATTCTTAGTTATATGAGTCATTGAAAGTATATTCTGACAACGTACAGGAGTCAGTACATTGGCTGTATGACTGTGTATATATTTTATAAATTTAATTGTAATATTGCAATAAATAATAATGAATAATGAAAAAAAAAAAAACAATATTTTACTTTAGGTACTTATCAACAAATTTTTTTCTACAATCCAAAATTGTTCACTAAATCACAAACAGCGCTTTATACGCGGGTACTTATTCTAAAGTCTAGACTCTAGGATTAGGATATTATATCCAGGGGACCGAGCAAAGATAAGTGAAAGGCATTTTCACCAGAGTCTCCGGAACTTTCGTAAAAAGTATGATATTCATATACGATATACCTATGGTCGAGGGCAATCGACCATACTAGGGTCCCAAACCGTTCTTAGGTATAACTACTGTACAAGGCACCTACCTAAACGGAGATTAGTTTTATTCGGTCGGTGGCGTTTTTCGAGGACAGCCATCCCCAGTGAGATTACTGTTTTGGAGTGCTTACCGCAAAGACGTGACGTCGAACTTTCGGACGGCGGAGAAGTGCCGAAAAGCGTCTCTTGACAGGAGAGCGGACGAGCGTTTACTGGACGCGATCCAGGACCAAACTGACAGGCGACTTGCTGGACTCTGGAGTCTGTGGCCGGATGCAGAAGGAGGAGAGTAACCTGATCGGAAAGGATAGACTTCGACGGGGGGAAAAAAGCGCAACGGACGGCAGACGTAATCGACGCCGGACTGTGACAACGACTGATCAATTTTACGGTCGTTAGTCGTGGTTATCGCCCAACGTGATGTATTATTATTATTTTTTTCTCGGCGATCTGTATATAATAACGATATTGTCGTCGATACCACAAGTCGCAACTTATCGATTGATGCGGTTAAGAAGACTGATGTTTTCGCGGACAAGCGATACACTGAGAAAGAAACGTGAAATAATTCGTCAATTTCGGCTCGATGACCGTGAGAGGGTGCGCTGTAATTTTCCTTCTAGGAAAAGTCAAAATTCAAAAGTGACGAATGACAATAATATGTAATTTTAAATCCTTCGATTTTCCGTCAAATACAGTATCGCCACAGAATACGCGACAATCGCCATCGATAGTATTTTCCGATCCGAGCGTGGTTCGTTATCACTGAATTGATTAAACTACACACCGTGATAACATTCAAAAGCCCCAAAACCAACTTACACGTTCTCCTTTCGCCTGGAATCCGACATGAATATTTAAATAATAAATACCTAGTATTATTTTATGTTATTATAATTTGTAAATCATAATAAAATATTGTATTTTTTGTACGCGTCACAAATCATCAACTACTAATGTTTCCCTACTAGCAGTGGAGATAGAATTGTTTTGATCATTATTTTCGTTTTTGAGTCGTTCACATGAAGCGTTTTCAATATTTACTTTGGTTCGCTCACGAGCATGTGTCTTTTCGGTTACACGTAAGGTTTTTAAACTAATACAAAAAAAAAAATTCCTGCCTTCATAGTCGTAAATAGATATATATTTAATTTAAAACTGGTTATTTTTAGGAGATTGAAGCTATTGCTTCTGTACTGAAAATACCTATAAAATGGATTGAACCTCCATCCGATAAAGTAAGAGAACGTCTCGTAATAATTTACCAACTAATTCACTCGATTATTCACTTGACATTATCATTTAACATGCCTAACATTTTAAACTGCTTTAGTACATATCTTGTAAGATTCTAAAATTGTTTTATTTGTTTATTGTTAGCCATGGTATCTGGTTGAGCTGCCATCAGAAGAGGCTGTACAAAAATTGTCAGCTCGTTCAGTAACTATGAGACGTGCTATACATTTATGGGCTGATGAACCAACTGTGCCAAGACTTCATGCATCATTAAAAGAAAAATGTTTAAATGGTTTACTTGAACCATATAAACTAAAATCATTCAAAGTAGATGTAGATTTATTTTGTAATTCACAAACACAGGAAGAGAAACTTGAACGTATAGAAGTAAACCGTTATAAATATTCCACATTTAATCTAGGTGGTTTGATGATGTTATATTGTTCCACTAGTCGTTCAGTTATATGCCATTTCAAGGACACGTGGATCTTAAAAATCCAGATGTTACGTTTCAATATATTGAGTACTATGGTTTGGATCCAAAAATTGTGCCAGAAAATCCTACTCGTACATTTTTTGGCCGAGTAGTAAGTATATTATAATATATTTTTATTTTACTTTTAAAATTAATAATATTGTTATTGTAGGTGTCTGAGAGTGGACGCCCATTAATACATGAGTTATCATTAAAAAAGCGTACATTTATTGGCAATACTAGTATGGATCCACAGCTTTCCTTATTGATGGCAAATTTAGGAAAAGTTTCTAACGGTGATTTAGTATTGGATCCATTTGTTGGAAGTGGTATGTGTTTCTTTTTATTTTAGTTAAATTGTATCTTATTTTTATAGGTTGTTAGTTTAATACAATTATTCCATTTTTAGTTCCTAAAATAATTATTCACAATTGACAGTTATTATTATAATATTATTCCTATATGTATACAATATGTATATGATTTATTAGTTATATCTTAAGGGGATTGGAAGCGGCGATTTTCTGTCTTTATCTAACACACGTGGAACATAGGATTATAGACGTGTTCTATGTCCAACGTACCGATTAATCTAATGAAGCGATAAGAATTCTGAAAACAGATTTGAATTTGTCGTCAAGTCTACTTGAGATCGACTTTCCCACATTTTTGATTTTTTGATTTAAACTTCTCCAAAAGTTGAAATTTGTAAATTATTTAAGTACTTTTTATAATATATCATTTTTATGATTTTGGTGGGACAAAATCAAAAATGTGGGAAAGTCGATCTCAAGTAGACTTGACGACAAATTCAAATCTGTTTTCAGAATTCTTATCGCTTCATTAGATTAATCGGTACGTTGGACATAGAACACGTCTATAATCCTATGTTGCACGTGTGTTAGATAAAGACAGAAAATCGTCGCTTCCAATCCCCTTAATGAATTTTACCCTTATTATATATTTATCTTAATATTTGCAATTATTAGTTGTGCTCAGAGATCTTTTCACCCATTAATTCATGAATAAATTGTTAATATTTTAAAAAGTAGTTAACATTTTTTTTATTTTTAGTTGATGATAGCACACGTTGAAACATTTAATAGTAATTAATATGTTAGTATTGTACTTTAAATCAATTAAAATTTTTTGTTTTGTTAAATCACATATTTTATTAAACAATTAGCCGTAGATCACATATTACACCTATTTCACTCAAGTGTAAGATGTTTAATTTTTTTTTAAGGTTCATTGTTAGTTGCTGCTGCAAAATTTGGTGGCCATGTAATTGGAACAGATATTGACTTCTTAATGCTTCATGGGCGTACAAGGCCTACAAGAAAACAGACTAGAGTATATATTTTAACTATGCTATGATACATATAATATTAGGGGGACTCACCGCCCGGACAAAAACCGGTTTTTTGCCGTTTTACTTATTAAAAATCAGGAAATTAATGAAATTAAAATGTTGAAACGCCAATATTTTCAGAAAAATGAACTCTACAAAATGGCAATCTTCAATATTTTTTTAAATAATTAATTAAAAAAATAATTTTTTAACTTTTTTACCAAAACATAAAAAAAAATAAAAATTAGTTATTTGTAGTGCTTACCTCTGTGAGTCTTAATAAGAAAACAGAATTACGATATCTCTATTATTTCAGGAGATATCGCAATGAGTAAATCCTCACGGGACACCCTGTATACATATAACTTTTTATTTAGAAGTTTGGTTTTTAACTTAAGTGTTATTATATAAATAGTTATAAGTTTCTCGTGAACAATTTATATCTTTTCTACCTATGCTTTATGGGTATAACTGAAATTAATATAAACTTTTACTTATTTTTAGGGATGGGTTCTCTAACTTTTCAAACCCCCATACTATTCAAAATTCAACAAAAATTTAAGTTTGAATTGTTAAACCATAATACAAATTGAAATGTTCAAGTGTAACAACAGATTAATTATTTTTTTTTTTTTGTTAACAGTTAACATTACGTTATTATATTCTTAAATGTTTTAAAGTTTGAAAGTTAGAACAGTTCAAAAAAACTTAGGGTCTGACCCATCCATACTTATATTGTACTTATATTTATATTAATATTTATAATATACATTATTATTACGTTGAATGTCATGCGGCCTCAGAGTACTAGGATAAAACAGTATTTTTATGGACGCCGACTGTCACACCTTGTTATTATTTATACTCCATATCGATGGCGTAGCGCACAAGTGTGATAAGTGACATTTTCGTAATTGTTCAGGAGAACGATTTTTAAGTTTGAGATGTTATAACAAATTCAAAAATGTAACAAACTGTACGACATCTATCAGAGTAAATAATGAACTATTCACTTACAACGTTTGGGCATAATGTGCAGAATTGTATGATTAAATTGATTATGCACTTAACTCATTTTTCAAAAAAATGTCACTTATCACACTTGTGCGCTACGCCATCGATATGGCCGCTGGCAGCTGTAAATTAATATGGTTTTATATTATTACTACAATAATGCACTAAAAAACTAAAAAAATTCTGTGAAATTCAAAAATTTATATTTTAAATTTTTTTTTTCAAAAACAATAGTATATACAGATTTGTAATGACACTGAAAAATATACTTGGCGACTGGCGTATTCATGATAAATTTTGTGTGACCACCGGCAGTCGCATGACAATCAACGTGTTAATTTGTACATTTATTTTCAGCATATAGCTAGAAAAGATGAAAGTATTGAAGCCAATATGGTGCAATATTCATGTGTTGACAAATATATTGATGTAATTGTTGCTGATTCAGCTTTACCGTTTTGGCGCAGTGACGTAGAATTTGACTGTATCTTAGCAGATCGTAATATAAAATTCATTAAAATGATTAATAATTAACAATACAATTTAAATAATACAATTTAATTTTTTTCTATAGCTCCATATGGTATTAGAGAACCAACTGAGCGAATAGGCTCTAAAGAATCATTACCTATTATTAAGAAGGAAGGATCTCCTGTACATTTCCCATCTAAAATAGAATATGGATTAAATGAGATCATCAAAGATCTTATGTGGTTTTCTTCCAAACATCTTAAGTTACATGGAAGATTGTTATTTTGGGTACCAGTATTTCGACAAGATTACAATGATGCACAGATGGCTAGACATAGTTGTTTTAAATTAATAGGAAACTGTGAACAGGTGTTGACGACATTCACAGCTAGGCGGCTTTTGGTTTATGAAAAAATTAAAATGCCTCAAGTAAAATCAACATATTTTATACAACATTGAACATACTAAACAAATATTTATTTTATATTTATTACAGGATACTGATGAATGTAGTTCTGCAATACCAGCTGCTAGTACTTTTAGAGAAAAATATTTTACTCATGGTGATGAACATCGTCTAACAAGAAAGCAAAAAAAAGCAGAGGCAGCTAAGAACAAAGAAATGTGGTTTGCAAAATTAAATAATGTTAATGTGAAATAAGATCAAATTGTAAGCTCAGCAATCAGTAAATAAAGATTAACATAAGTATAATCATTTTTATTCATTATTACTTATTAATATTTATAACTTAAACAGTTGACATTTGAACAAAAATTAATAGTCTTTTCATATTATTTTTTACAACCAGACTATTTTTATATGCATAGAATTATTATTTTCATGTTTAAAATAATTATGGTTCCACTTCATTTAATCCATTGCAAAATAACTATTGACAAATTAACCTGAACTAAATATTATATTATACAGTTCATAAATTACAACTTAGGACCGTTCTTACAATGTCCGGTTAAAGTTAACCGACACTTAACCGGCCGAATTCTGCAGGTAATAAAATATGTTATCAGTCGGTTAGCGTTAACCAACACTTTACCGGACATTGTAAGAACGGCCCATAGTATTTTTTAGATTCTGAGTGGAGCGAGGGATCTAGTGGTCTTACAATGGTGTTTACTTTTTTTTTTTTTATCTTGTATACCACATTTTTACCAGAAGGAGTACTTTGCATTTAACATAGAGTATCTTATCTTTTAGAAAATTGGATCAAGATGGTACTTTAGAGAGATCATTTTTCGATTTTCTCAATAGTTATTTAATGCCACCATAAAAACCACCGAAAAAATACCTGAAAATTTACTTTGATACAGACACATGTTAAATTCTCTTCTAAAATATTGATAATAGGTGGTTTTCTCTAAAACCGCTCAATAAACTATATTGTTGGAAATACAAAATTAATTTTCATAGAATTTTTCCATACTATTGATACTCCTTAAATGATCAATTTGGAGTTTACTTTGAATGAAATAATACAAAGATTAATTTAACTGTATACTTATTTAAACTGTATTATAAAAAAATATAAGGGTAGTAAAGAAAATCAACAAAATATTAATTTGAGTGCTTATAAAGTACATTATAATAAGATCAATTTTATAAAAGAATATATTATATAATTTGTTTTAAAAAAAAAATGAAATAGTGAAGTTAATTCATTACATTAGTACCTAGTTCATCTAGATCATTTTCCAATTAGTCGTACATAACAATAAAACTATCAAGTTTGTGTGCTATAAATTATTAAATTTCATAAACAGTGTTAAATTATTTAAAAACAGTAATTTAGGAACAAAAAAATAAATAAATAAATATACATTAGTAATAATAATATATTGGAACAATATCTCAACACGATTCTATGTAATTTCTTTTCTTCTTGCCAATTTGTAAATCAGATCGACTAAGTTAGTACGTTTATTTTGAAGATCTTCCACATCGACTGGATCTACTTCGCGTATGTCTAAATTTGCGCAGACGTATTGTGCAACGTTTTCTGCATTGCATATAAGGTGTATTCCACAGTCGTAGCTATTCTGTTGCTGTCTGGTCGCCAACGGAGTGATGATGTCTACAATGTCTTTAAAATAAAATTTCAGCTTTAATGCCAATTTTCTCGCCTGTTTCTCATTGGAATCAAATATCGAATCCATGTGGAAGAGACGTCTGTCTTGCGCCCCGTACACTACCAGCGACCAGTGAGTACCGCCGACCGTTTGCAATTGTTCCTGATCGTTCAGCGGGAAGAAGATGTACGAATAGTTTTTACCTTTGACCAGTGGGTCGAGGAACACGGCGATGTCGTCTACGTTGCACTCCTTTATGCATTGCACGATTTCCGGGCTAATGAAATACACCTTGGGATTGTTCTTGAACACTTCGGTGTTCAGGTATTCCATGTAGAAACCGATGACGGAATCGTTCAGCCATTGGTCGTCGACGAGCAGACGGACGTCGGATTCGTGAAGGAGAAAATTCTCGTAACTCAACACTACTGGATCTTTTTCTTTGGACGACGTACGGTTGTTACTCATGGTGGTGATGGTGGTGGTTTTCGGTGAGAACGACAATTTTTATTAAAAAAAAAAGAAGAAAAATATAGGTACCTGGCCGACAGTAGGTATGTTACTATTCTATGGTAGGTACGTACTAGGTACACATTACACACGATTTACGGTAATGATTATTAATATTTGACATATTTTGTTATTTGTTTATTCGCGCGAGTAACTAAGTTTACGTACGGGTACGAACGGCAATAACAGTAATAACGACGTTATAATGTCACATTAATAATATTATTCATTATTACGATTTACATTTTACAACAATAAATGAATAATAATGATAAATTGATTTTATGATAAACTCGGAACAAAAAGTAAACAAGAAAAAATAACAGTGTGCCGGGTTGGAGGATAAAAAACTATGTTAGAACCATTGGAAATTTGGAATTGTTCCTAAAATATTAACCACCAAAAACATAATATTTGTAAAATGAGAGCAAAGTTCAATACTATAATATTATATGCCTTGGTTGTTAACTTCAACGAAGGTGCCAAGTTAGGAAAATATATTGAAGCCTAAGGTCTGACTTGGCTAGTTTTCATATACGAATTATTATTAAGTACCTACTATTTACTAAAACAGTAATAGAAGAGTGAAGATGATTTTCCGAAGGATAAAATAAGAACTCAAAGCTTTAGAACTTGCGAATGCTATAATATAATTCGTAGCCAAGTCAGACCTTAGGCTTCAATATATTATCCTAACTTGACACCCATTTAGATCTCACTTCTTTTGTCGTTAAAGTCAACAACCAAGGCATATATTATATTATTGAACTTGGCTCTCATTTTACATATATATTTTTGGTGGGATATCATTGCTTTTTGTATGTAAATTATAATAACCTAACCTAGCCATGACGTATTCTATAAATAAAGTTACTAACATTAATAATATTTATTATAGAATATTTTCTGTTGTATACAGAGTATAAAATATAAAATTAATATAAAATTATTTTATCTCTTTGACTATATTTTTAATTATCATAATTTTATTTACTATAATTTCTACTGGTGGGTAGATAATTCATAATCGTAAGATTAATTATTTAATTATTTTAATTGTAATTTTTTTAAAAATTAATATTAATTACATACATGGGAAAAAGTATGTTACTGCGCGCGGGTCGCCAATATCGACACATATTCGACTGAACGTATTTTTGGAGCTGCTATACGGGAAAGGTTAGCGAAGCTATTTAAGTCAACATTACATTAAATTAGAAGCACTTCATTAATTAATTGAAAAATTATAATAAAATCAATTGATTAAAAATTTGAAAAAATTTAATTTTCTGATTTTTTCCTTTGTATTAACCTAACTACCTACCTATCTGTATGCCACATTTGATCTTTCTAGGTCATCTGGAACTGGGTTCCAATTTTGATCTATAGGTATGTCAGTCAGTGATAAAAATTACGATTTTGAGACGTTAATATCAAAATAACGGTTTGAGGTGTGTTTATGAAATTTGGAGCACATATGTATCTCGTAAGTCTGAAATATATGAGCCAAATTTGACATGTTTATGCGGAATATATTTTGAGTTATGAGGGGGTCAAAAGTGGTTCCAAATGGTTCGTGTAATATTACACACGGTGCTGCTCGCCAGTTTTGTTAGCTAGAACTTGGCTTGACACGCTACCGAGTGTCTATAGATTTGAAGTTCGACCTCGGCAATCGCGTAAGTTCTCTACATGGTTCTGTGGTAAAACGTATTTTATTTAAATATTTTTTAGAAAACATTTTTGTACCAGAATTACCATAGGTAACTGGAGATTGATTGACGTAGTCTAGTTGAGAGTGGATTTTTACTGATTCGTGTAAGACGAGGATTGTTTTGCAAAGGAAAAATAATGAAATCAATCATAATTTTCTTCACTCATTTCTGTGTGTATATCATTAACAAAGATTTTTTAAATTGTTCAATAAAACTTATGTTAATAAAAGGTATGTGATCGGAAGTGGAATTTGAGTTGCGGTGAAATCGGTTCTCGCTATTAGTTATAAGTTATAACTTATAATTGATTACTTGACGGTGGAGGTACGAGTTTAAGAAAGCATTATTTTATTCGTCACAAACCATGGGGAGGAGAAGATAGTACGGAGGCTTCGACGGCTTCGAGTTTGCTCCAATTCGTTTTGGATATGATAGAATAGGTTTAACTCGTCGGTTGCCGCCTCGTCTAACGAGTGTCTTCGCCGCCATCTTCGTCAATTTTCGCCTTGTCTAATGAGTGTCTTCGTCGCCGAGTTCGGTAATTTTGTAAACCTAACTGATTCTCCGTTCGTCTCTGGCTGTATATGTTGACGCTTGTAGTGTTGATGTGAGAATGAGGTTGCTCCTTCTTTGCTTTGTTGGGGCGGCCTGGGGCCTATTAACTATACCAGGTTCGGGGCCTATTCTAGTAGAGAGGGTAGTTTTTGAAGGAGTTAATGGTTTAATATGGGTTGATCTTCATATGCCCATGAGAAGGGTCCAGGGGCTTTTGATATAATCTGGTCTGTTTTAGAATGGCCTAAAGTTAGAATATGTTTGATTATGGATTGTTGATTGATGTAAACATTTGTTCTCAATTGTTGTTTGATGGTTTGTTCAATTGTGATTGAATTACTTTGTTTGAGTAGAACGTTGTTCCTAAGATATTGTGGCATGCCCGTTACCATCCGTATGGCTATTGTTTGGAGTGCCTCGAGGTGGCTCCTAGATGACCGTTAGATGTGTCCCGTACCGAACTAGTAAACCACGGTGTGCCTACTGTGTCCGTGCTTACCGTCGGTACGCTTTACCTCACTATTTACACAGTTTTGGAGTTATGGTTATGGGACGGGTGTTGTTGATTTCGTCATAGTCTCCCCTATCCATAGCCTTGTTGGGGATGTAAAGTGACTAGAAGGGTTTCTTTCGCTTCTAAATCCCTACGACGGTGTTCTTTTGTATGTACTGTGTTGTGATTGGTGGTCCTGAAAAGGACCGTTTTATGTGATGAGGACAGTGTCACTAATTATTATTAGGTACTTTTTAGTTTTTTCACTTCCATTAATAATTTAAAAAGTAGGAGGTGGATACTCACAAACAAAATAACGGTAACAATGATTTAAATTTACTGGAAATTAAACTACCTATTAAAGATAAAAACTGATTCAAACATATTATTATAATCGAACTAATTTTTCTGAGACCATTTAGGCGTTCCTAGTAGTAGGTTTAAATAGTAAAATAGGCGTAGGTGTAACATAAAATATAGGCAGAAAATAACTTTAGTTTATACAATTGATTGTTTTATTTATATAGTTAATGTTTATACGTATTGGATAGGTACAATATGACGAATTGGTTGTAGCCTTGTAGGTATTGTTATTTCTTATTTCGACAACTGTCTGTTGTGCATAATTATTATATAATCATCATAATTCATAATTTTAGTTTTTAATCTCTATCTATACTCTGTGAATGAGACGTCATAATATTATTTCCAATAATTGTATTCGTTATAAACATTTAAAAAATGTAGTTGTTATTTGATTGATTATCCCAGGCGCCGTGTAGTTAATCATCGTGGATTTTACGGATGTATTATTTGACTATTTTAGATCAATAACTGTTGTAGACTATACTTACTAATTATTACTTGTAGTATTGAATTAAAGTAAATACAACTATACAAGTATTAAATTATATTATTAGTAGGTATATTAAGTACCTACTACCTATACCTACAAAAAATTTAAAAGTTAGCATACATTTTCTTATTTTCATTAAACACAGAATCGCGTTATTTAAGCTAAAAAAATGTATCCATAATATTAAAGGATTATACACCTAATAATAATTTATTAATATTATGTATTTATGTCTGAGAAAACGGAAAAATGATTCAATCGTATCGGCGATAAATTTTACGAAAATAATTAGTATGGCGGGCAGTGGCTACTCTGGTGATTTGCCGCATCTTATCAGTTTCACCGATTGACGGTTGTCTGTTGATAACGTTTTGATAGCCACTGCTGTAAATGGGTAGGACGTCCTTCGAGGTTATTTGAAGTTCATTTTTGCCTTTTGGGCACTAATTATTTTACTGTCACTTTTTAACGTACAATTTCATTACCAATTTAGTCTATAATCATACAGTATGTCTGGATCAAACACCATCATGAACAACGTGCGTCTGTTACGGAACCTAAATAGGAATACAGTGAGAACAGTCACCACTAAATGTCCAATCAAAGTTATTCAAGCATATAGGTAATTAATTGTTTATAATTGATTATTTAAGGTATTGAGTGGATAATAATTTGTTTTTCCCTTTGCGGTTTTTAGGTGTCAACGTTCCATTCACTGGCGTGCTGGCAGACGTCCTTCCGTAAAAAATGTTGGCTATCGTTTCTATGCCACAGATTTCCCAAGCCATATTAAAGTTGCTCTCCCAGCTTTGTCTCCTACCATGGAAAGCGGCACCATTATTAATTGGTCTAAAAAAGAAGGTAAATCACATATTTTATAATTTTAGAAAAAAAATCAAAATTTTCCACGAATAACTTTTAGGTGAAAGATTGAACGAAGGAGACAAACTAGCTGAAATTGAAACAGATAAAGCCATTATGGACTTTGAAACTCCTGAAGAAGGATATCTTGCCAAGATCATGGTGCCTGCTGGTCAAAAAGATGTTACAGTTGGAAAGGTATACATAATAATATCATATACTATTTTTCTATTTTAAGTATTTAACATTTCTAATGATTGTGCAATATTGCAATAGGGTCATCTTGGGAATTAAGTAAAAATTATGACCTTGCATTAGGGTCAATGATATTATTAATTGATGTATTGAAAAAATAATTAAGCAAATTTATTTTTATCGCCTATCAGACTTCAAAAATTATATATTAAATAGATTGTTTTATTTTTATTAAAATGTTTGTTAATAACTTTAACTAGTGTAAATTAACGGCAAATTAAAAATTTAATCAATTTACTTTTCAAAAGTTAAGTAATAAAAAAAGCGGGTAAGTGGATGTCGCTCTGCTGTACAGTAGGTTACAAGTGGGTCAATGTATAATGAAGGATATTAAACTTGAATTCAATGATATAATATCATTGTATAAGAAAAACGATTCTGAGCGGGGTTTGTCAGTCTGAATATTTTATATTGTTATTATTTATTATAGCCTGTAAGTAAAATTGATATTAAAATGTTAACATTTTTTATTCGTTTCTATGGTGATAAACAAAGCGTTAGAAATTAAAATATCCCATTTTTGTAATTTGTTGGTAGTTCTTCTGGTGGCATTAAATAACTATTGAGAAAATCGAAAAATAACCTCTCTAAAGTACCATCTTGATCACATTTTCTAAAAGATAAGATACTCTATGTTAAAATCAAAGTACTCCTTCTGGTAAAAATTTTGTACTCAAGATAAAAAAAAAAACAAACACCATTGTAAAACCACTAGATCCCTCGCTCCACTCAGAATCTAAAAATAATTAAATTTAACATTTTTTTTTTTTTGAATTCAGCTCGTATGTATTATAGTAGAAAATGAATCTGATGTTGCTGCTTTCAAAGACTTTGTGGACAATACTTCAGCAGGTGCTCCTGCCCCAGCAGCACCATCACCATCACCCAAACCATCTACTTCTGCACCTGCTCCGCCTCCTCCCGCCCCTGTAGCTCCAAAAGCTTCGGCACCGACAAAGTCAGTGCCTATTCCAATTGGATCTCGTATACTTGCTAGTCCTTTAGCAAAACGCTTAGCAGCCGAGAAAGGATTGGATTTAAGTGTAAGAATTACTACATATGTATATCTAATTATGCAAATAACTTGATGTAATTTTATAACTCATAACGTATTCAAATTTTAGACAATAAGCCAAGGTTCTGGGTTGTTTGGTTCAATAAAATCTGCAGATTTGGACAAAGCTTCTATAACCAGTAGTCAGAAAACTGCTGTCGTCGATGGCATTCGCGGTGATGGATTTGTTGATAAGCCGGTGACAAACGTTCGGAAGATTATTGCGAAACGTCTGCTTGAGTCTAAACAAGTAAAATAAAATTTACTCGTTTGTCTATTACCATTCATCAACATAACCCATATATTTTATGTTTATTTACAGACTATACCACATTATTATCTTACAGTAGATTTGGGCCTGGATAATATTGTTTCATTGAGAAAACGTATGAATGAACTTTTGGAAAAAGAAGGAGTTAAATTATCCATAAATGATTTCATTATTAAAGCAGCGGCTTTAGCTTGTAAAAAAGTTCCAGAAGCCAACTCATCCTGGATGGATAGTTTCATTCGACAGTAAACTAAACTCAAAACTATCTAATCTGGCATTAAAAAATTAAATACAAATATTGTTAATTATAGATATGACGCGGTTGATGTAAGCGTGGCAGTGAGCACTGAAACAGGACTGATAACACCAATTGTGTTCAATGCAGATACTAAAGGATTAATAGCAATAAGCACTGATGTTAAAGAACTTGCAGCTAAAGCCCGTCAAGGAAAACTGCAACCTCAAGAATATCAGGTATTTAATATTTATTGGTGAATTTATACATGTAATCTTGCAACATGAATTCAACTTGAACTTTTTTATCACAGGGAGGTACATTTAGTGTTTCAAATTTGGGAATGTTTGGTGTTAAGAGTGTATCATCGATAATTAATCCTCCTCAATCGTGCATACTCGGCATCGGTGCTATGACTCAACGACTAGTACCAGACAAGACAAATGGAACCCGTGCACAAGATACACTACAAGTTACATTAAGTTGCGATCACAGAGTTGTGGATGGTGCTGTTGGAGCACAATGGTTACAAGCATTTAGACGATATGTAGAAGAACCACATAATATGCTACTTTAAAACTGTCTCAAGAGTAATTCAGTCAAAAAATGCTTTCCGTAATATTTTCTTATATCTGTATTTTTTTTTTTTTAATGTTATTTGTTATTAATAGTTTAAATGTTAAATCGATCAGTACACACTCTATCTGATTTTTAAGCACACTCTTAGTTGTTGAAATGCATCAAGAGTATATTAACGCGGATAGATATAGCTCTAGTGAATTATAAAAGCTAAAAAAAAAAACACAAAAACAAAAGAAATATTATCTTGATGTTTCTTGGGTGTACAATTTGTATTAGTTCGGGTATGTTCAAAGAATAGTCCCAAATTGTACTTGTCTCCAATTCATTTGACCTGAATAAGAAAAAAAAGATACAATATAAAAAAATTGAAAAATTATGAATTTTTCTATTCTTAATAATTGATGTCAAAAAATTGTGCCCAGAAACAACTTGAATCCTAATTACATAGGTAATTTATTAAATTGTATTCTTCAGCTTATTTTTATGCCAATGACTAACCATGGCTTGGTATGTCTTTTGTAGATCATAATTAACACATGTTTACTTTAGAAAGTTATGTTAAAACAACTAATGTAAGACCTTATAAAAGATAAAACACATTCCATGTTAAGCCTACCTCACTTTTTCTAGTTTCAAGAAATATTGATGAGAATAAATAATTTGTTTCAAAAAATATCAAACTATATATGAGAGTAAAGTCTTGCATCTTCATACAAAATGCCATTGTAGAACCTAATTGTTCAAGATCATTGACAAAAAAAAAAAAAAACAACCACCCTACAAAAATTATTTAATAATATTCTATCAAAAACAAAATAGAAGTATTATATTAAAACTATATAACTATAATATATTAACAAATATTTAATTAAATTCTTACAAAAACAATTAAAAGCTTTGACTTTGTTATTAAAATGAAATAAATATAATAGTCAAATTACATAGCTGTCCAAAATAAATGATAAATATTGAATCTAGTACCAGAATACCTCGTGACAAATTATTAGATTAAAAAATTATTATATTATAAATACTACACTCATAGATACATGCATTGCATTTCATAGTCTGATAATACTTTAGTATGAACATTCAGCATAAATAGAACTAATCAATTATAAAAATATAAACTCACCAAAAGCTCTTGACCATTGAGATTGATAATCAGTTTTATCTTTGCTAGTTAAATCATCGACTGTGAATATATTATGATCAACATTTTTAGAGCTAACCTTCAATTCGCCTGTATACAATGACACTAATTTGATAATGTTGTTATGTTGTTTCATTTTCAATGGACTCAATTGTATTTGTAATAACCTAAAATGCAGCAAACATGTTAGCTGGTTGCCAAAAGAGGATTCTTTCATTATGGTATAGAATTACCATTTTAAAAATATAATAGTGTATGGATGTGGTGATTGCAATGTAGTTCTTAGAACAAGATTTGAATCCAAATTCAAAGGTTTGCAGTTCATGCAGTCGTCATTTTGATTATTTTTCAGGTCAATTTTTTTGCTGCTTTTATATGCTACAATACACAGTTCCACAACCCACAGAGCTGCTATACGCGAATGTTGAGTAACCAAACACTGTAATACGTTTGTCAGCAAACCGGAGTTATTAAATGTTTTTAGTAAAACATTCCAGATTGCTTTATCCGTCTTGGAAATTCTACCTAATAAATAAATTGTCAATCTTAGATTAGCTACTTACAGTGATTGACTTAAAAAAATACCTATTTAAAAATTACCTTTAGATACATTGCATTCATGAGCTTGAAGTAAATATTGCGAAACAAATACATTGACTAAATCTGAAGACCAATCTTTAACTACTAAAAGGTTTTTCATTTTCTTCACACATTCTTTGTTTGAACAACTTTCGGACATGTTTAGCTTCTCTCTAAAATATCATTAATTATAAACAAACTGTTCTATTTTAATTCTTTAACATATAATTCATTTATTTTTACCTCAAAACATTTAATCGTTTTTGCTTAAGTTCAGCATTAGTTTGACTTTTGCTTAATATATAGAATTCCAATAAGTCTATAAATTCATAAACAATATTCATGTGTACTTTTTTCGCAGTCACCAGAAAATTTTCATCTTTGTTCCAATATTGTGTCTACAATAATCATAATGATAATAACATTTTAAGTACATAACCATATTTATTCAATTTATTGTTATTTGTTCTTACTTGTAACCATTCTAGTGAAAATTCCATAGCTGCTCTCAAAGCTTTTAGAGTAGGTAAATCTTGGTCATGTGAAATTTTGTGTCGCATATCAATTAACCACGATGGAAGTTGTAATTGAGAAGCTCTATAATACATAGACTTCTGTGGACCTTTTCCAAAAATGTCAGCTGTCAAATTGACAAACCTTGATTGACATAAATATCATACAATTTTTTTAATTTAGTGATTAATTATGGAATTTTCTGTCTTACTTCATTATAGCCATTGAATATAAACGAACTAAATCACTTTCATTGGTGGGTTCATCAACTTCATAAAAATAGTCATCCTTAATGATGACTTGCAACATCATTTCAGTGCAATATAAGCCTCTACATAATGATTTTCCCCTACAACAAAATGATTATTTTTAGTTAGAAAAAAGAAAGATGTTTTTTTCTACTAACCTAGTTTTCCATAATAAAAGTTTTCTTAAAGCTTGTTTGTAGTTGCGTGTATCTTTACTGCCATATATGTCTTGTCTAAGTGACTGCCACTCTGAACTAAAATTTAAAATAATACATTTGTAAATTAAACAATGGTAATATTATTGCAAACATTTTTATACCAAACAAAACAACAAAAAGTATGTTACACTGCTGTTAATTGGAACAGTCTTTATTACTTTATAGATGTTTAAAATAATTAACTAATACCTGTCTATAATACAGTGTTTGCGTTAAGTTAGTTTAAAAACCTAATAATCAATCATGATATATTTTTAATAAATTGCGTCTTTTTTAAGTAAAAAACGTTGACAAGTGAGCAAAATTAACTACTTTTAAAAAGAAAAACTTCTGCACGACTGGATTACAGAGATAACGCAGTAATGAATTTTAGATGATATTGATCATTAGTCATCATTGTCCTCTAACAAGTTGAAGTATTAAGAAATGTATAGCTTATTGACTATTGTAACCTAATACATAGTATGCATTTTACTTACTCGGAAGACCATGGAGTCACAATTATTTCTTCCGACGTGTTGAAATACGACGTATTTCGTCTGAAAACCATGAAATTGAATTGATCACATTTAAATCACACAAAACGCTATAAAATACTATTTTGTACGTCGTTTTCAAATTTTAATCATGATATACATAATATTATACCAAATTTGAATTTTAAAATATTATAAATTGACCTATTAACTTACAATGCCATATTAAACGAACAGTAGTCGTAACTGTTGCTTCTCTTAGGCCAACTTCTCAGTCTCTGGTCGGCTTATGAGACACAAGAAAGAAGACGCAACCACAAAAGTCGACTGTCTAGAATACTGAATAGAACTTTGACTGTTTACCTAGCGTCTGAACACGTGTGTTTTGTAACTCTCGTTCTGGTGTTATCACTTCTTGTGTTATCAGTGTTGTTTGTACTTTGTTTGCAAATCTGCAGAAGTGAAACAAGTAACAGCCGTCATCCTGACCATAATGTAGAGGAGAAAATCTTAACGGTAATACCTCAGAAGAATACGGAATTTATTATTATTAGGTAACTAGTGTAGGTAATTAATCTAGTACCTATAGCCATTGGTGGAAATCCGTGGGTGGGCTTGAGGGGGCTTGGCCCCCTCCTTTTTTAGTTTTGTAGGATCGAAGCCCCCCCCGTTCACATTGATGTTAATAATTTTGGCCCTCCCTGCAATTTTAATGGATTTCCGCCTATGGGTACCTAACCTAGCCACCTAGCAATGTTTTAATTTTTTTGTTTCAAAATGTGATTTAACTCGTTAGTTGTATAAGAATGTAAAACGAAAAAGTCGCCATACTTCTTTTGGAAATTATCGGTGAAGAACTTCAAAAAGTACGTTTTTCTAAAACGCGCATTTTAAAAAAAAATAATTGTTCTGCTTAGAATACATTTTTTTTCCAATTTTGTGGTTTTTAATGCTTAATCGGTTCAGTCGTTTTAGTAGTCGTTTAGTCATATTCAATATTGATGTTTATATAAAGAATATAATCGTTGATTGTTTTGGTTTATGTTAGAAGATCTGACATCCGTGTATGGTGAACATGGCACGATGTAAGTATCAGTTATCAGTCTGTGCATCAAAAATGAAATAGGTATAAAATATTATCAGATATTTCAAATTATTAAAAACATTCAAAATTTAATAAAGATCATGTTAGTTTGTTATTACTATAGAAAAGAATAAAGTAAGTATTCAAACTCAATACCTAGACACCTTATTATTATTATTATTATTATATATAATTATACACTATATATTATCATATAGTATATAATATTATTATATTATAATAATAGTCTTTAAAAAATCATTAACCCTCCTTCTCGAAATTCTAGCTATTATTCCGTTAGGTACACGCACCATATATCTTACATTTTAATATTTTTTTGAATATTGTACGTATATAGTCTGTACATTAGTTACCATATTATATAGGTACTAAAATTTCTTTAGTTCTCCAGCGAAATCCCCTCTCCATCACAAATGGTTTAAATTATTTGTGCTTATACTCGGACCTACTCCTGCTCAGCGACCTATATACCTATTAATTATTATCAATATAATATTACTATTTATTAGTTAATATCTGTATTATATCTGTGTTGTATCGAAAAAGGCTGACCACAACTTGGGTAGATATTACAACAAATTGTTCAATTCCAAATTATAACAAGAAAACCAGGAACCATTGTTGTATAGGTAGGCATACTTTTATAGATTTATTAAATTTGGTGCCTATCTAATATTATTAATATTATAGGCCATATAGCCGATAGTATAACTATTAACATTTATAACGATTAACTATTAACGAACAAAATAATTTACTGGTACACAATTAAAATTAGTCGCGTGTTCATATTTTTTTTGCGTTGCCTACAATCGCGGCTATATAGTACCATTGATTATAAATACTAATGTTAAGAAGGGGATTCGATACCATGATTTTCTGTTTTTGTCTAACACACGCGTTACATAGTATTTTAGATGTGTTTTTTGCCAAACATACCAATTGATCTAATGAAGCGATAAGAATTCTGAAAACAGATTTGAATTTGTCGTCAAGTCTACTTGAAATCGACTTTCCCACATTTTTGATATTATCCCCCAAATTTTTTAAAATGTCATATTCAAAAAGAGTATTTAAAAATTCTGTTATTTCAATTTTTGGATAAGTTAAAATCAAACAATCAAAAATGTGGGAAAGTCGATTTCAAGTAGACATGACGACAAATTCAAATCTGTTTTCAGAAATCTTATCGCTTCAATAGATCAATTAGAATGTTTGGCAAAAAACACTTCTAAAATACTATGTCATGCGTGTGTTAGACAAAAACAGAAAATCACGGTATTAAATCCCTTTAATAATCGATAAATCATAAATCACGATCAAACACATGTGACATATTAACGTAGAACAACAACAAGTCGATTTCAATATAGAGGTAGTCACCTACGTGGTATTTACTACCATTTTATTGTTCAAAACGGCCGGCATTCAGCCAAGATTGTTAGACAATGTTCATAAAAAATGACAAAAATATTTAAAATGAATAAACCTTGTATTGGACTACTTCAGTATGCATATTATTGTTTTATCGGTCGTCACTCGTGGTTAAATATAGGTAGGTACCTAAATTCGCGTGCCGATCGGAACATTTTTCATTTCGTGTCCATTTGTTGTTTTGTACAAAATATTATCTAAATTTTTTTTTTTTTATATTAGCCTTTAGTAAAAAACTATAATAGCTCATTATCTAAATTTATAAACTTATATTAGAGGTATACTCTCATTGCATTATAATGTCTGCGGGGAGAAGAATTTGCGCGTTAATGACTCGGACGGCCGTGTACGTGTTCGACAAATATCACTTCACCATCAACACGTTCAGCGGCTCCGCGATAATGTGTGTCGGCGACATAGCACAACAAAACGTAGAACGTTACCACGGGTTGTCCGATGGTTACGACTGGTCGAGAACCGGCAAGTACTTAAATACAATCGATCGGAGAGACTGTAGTGGTCAATATTCGGGGGAGGGCCAACAAAATAATTATTGCCTACGAATTTAGGGGGAAAAAACTCCATTAGTACAATATATATAGGTACCAAATTATTAAGAAAACAAAGGTGCAAAATATGATATTATTATCATACATATTATATTGTACAACTGCCATGCATTATAGATAAACGTATAAATAGTTACCAGTTAAACGAAATAAATAAATAGCTTCAAAAATATGTGGATTGTAGGGACCAACTAAAAAATAAAAATGATACAATCCTATTTCAATAGCATTCTTTATAGTCTTTACCGACGTTATGGCTTACCTACTATACATTAGTACATATTTTTGGTTTAAGTGTAAGGAGTGGGTTAAAGGTCTTTTATCAAATATAATTTAATACAATTTTAGTTTCTGAGCGGAGCGAGGAAGCTATAGTGGTTTTACAATTATGTTTATTTTTAATTTTTTATCCTGTAAACAAAATTTCTATCATTTCACTTCTCATTTCACATTTCGCTTCGATTTCACCATAATAGTATAATATCTTTTAGAAAATTGGATTAAGATTATGGTAGGTACCTTAGAAAGATTATTTTTCGATTTTCTCAATAGTTTTTAACGCCACGGGAAAAACCACCAAAATACCCTATTGCTAATAAGCAAATTTTTTTCTGACGTTTTGTTATCACTGTAAAAACGAATAAAATTTTAAAATATATTTATATAACCACTAGAGAAATGAAAATTTATGAATTTATATTTATATTAATTATTTAATATATTTATTATTGAACATACCACATCATTTATGAATCTAATTTCTAATAAAACTATATACCTATTATTATTTATTAAGCATACTAATTTCTATATAATTTATTGCTACATACCTTTAATCACTAATTGTTATACTGATCCTCCGCTCAGAATCGTTTTTTATCGAATGCAATTATTGCATTCAAATCGAATAGTGTAATAATACACTATCCTGTGCGAGGGCCGAAGGGATGATGGACAAACTTTCAACACCGCTGACATACTCTATTATTTATTATGTATTTGTCAAAAACTACCAATTCATCATTAGTTAAAAAAATACATTGATTTTCCCCTATTTTTCAAACACATTTTGACATTTTAAATGAATTTTGAAATGGTATTTTTCAAGGTCAGCCCAAATCCTATTATTTTGTTTCGCTTTCAGACCAACGGCGTGACGGTGGAGTAGAGAAAACGAATTTACGTACCTATAGTTTTTTACGATTTTTGAGTAATCTTAGTTATTTATTATAATAAAAACAAAAATAAAAATCTATAAAAATTTATAGAGAATAATGTTTTTGAGTGTTTTGAAAAATAAAGTTTTGTAAGTTCAACTAAATTTAAATGTGTATTAATGTATTATAGTGTATCACATTGTTTTGAGACAATATCTAGACGAAATTATAATGTGTCAAAGCTTCAAAAATATTGTTCTCTAAAATGTTTGTAATGAGTGATTTTACTCAGTTTTCTTGGTACATTAAAACTGATTTTGTGCGAATGTGTCTTGTCTATGTTTCACGTGGAGCCAGAGAGAGAAAACAAATAGACTTAAAGGTATCGAGGAATCGCATTATTGGTACCACAAAATTATATAAAAAAACTTTCAAATTTTTCAAGTTTTCAAGAAAACTGTTCAAGTTATTTATTATATGTAATTCCCTAAGTGATAATATTCTAAATATATTTATGTTATAAAAAAAAATGATACAAATCTTACCCTTTGAAAAAATAAACAGATGGCAGTTTTTTGACCTTAGTGACGCCCGCGCTAGGTCAATTTTTGTCTAATATCAAAAATAACAGAGTGAAAAGGATTTTTTTTACTAGGTACATAAAATGGTCCATGTATTCGTTACAGTAAGACAGCGACAACACTAAACACTTGAGGGGAAACATCCTCTTAATATAAACCGGTTTCAAAAAATTCATCGTCGTTTGAGTTCATGCCGGACCCTGCATGGCTGCATTAGTCCGTACATTAAATATTTTTTTAATATTAGGTGTATAGAAACATTAAAAATGTACACTGAAATACACGCCAGGTACCTATCATAACAATATAATATTATACTACTATGTATAAGTGTAATGAGATGGCTCCGATGGTTCGCTAGCTGCTCGGACGTTTTGTCCTATATAGGTATATAAATTATAATAAGTATATCGTTTTACACGACACACGTAATATCTACTATCGTGTATAATGTCGTGTGCACTGCAACCCTGTACGCCTAAATTATTTGGTAATATAAGCCTATCTCATAATAATCGTAGCTATTATATAATATATTATCGTATTATTAATATTAACTGTTGTCAGTGGCGTCGTGGCGGCAGTAGCTCGCTGGACATACGGACGTGCGCTCGTCGAATACCATCATCTGCGCTGCGCAACATTATAACATCTTAAGTCATAAATTCATAACACTTCTCGAAGACGCACCCCATCGAATTTACGCGCGCTGAGTACCTAAACTACCTACCTACCTATACGTATATTATTATACATTTATACTATAACAGTAATATCGGTATTTGGTGTAGGTACTCGAACTTGAATACGTTGTATCCAGTGTGTTCTTAGGCAACCGATCGCGTACGCTACCATACCGCGGAAACCGTTTTTAAACACCAAAATAATGTTCGTGATGGAAAAAGTGAGTGTTTGGGGAAGGCAACGGAGAAGCGTTTATACTTTTGGCTTTCGATAGCGATGAATAACATTAATATAGTGAAGCATGTTGTATAAATATTAATACAATCGTGACTCCGCGGTTGTTAAACTACACGAATAATTCGGTGATTTTTCTTTACAGACGAAATCGTTAAACTTGCGGTACAACGAGATGTGTAATGACTGGGACGGTTTACATGATTGCATAGATCCCAAGAAGTACGAGCACGGTCAGTTGGTGCTGTCTTGGAAAAGACTGAACGTGTCGGTAGAAAAAATTACACAGAAGTTTTTTCAAAAATCAAAAATCACTCGCCAACAAATACTGTACAACGGTTAGTAAGGAAACATGACCGGGGGTTAAAGGGGAGAATTTACAATGTCAATGTAGGATTATAGACGCGTATAGTACCTAGGCCATAGGGTTCTAAAATTTCATGAAATAAATTTTTTTGAAATGTTTCATTTGAACAAATCTCCATACTTGTATATGCAAATATTTTTATATTGTCCAACAACGAATAAAACGTATTCGGAAGGTCAAAATAAAAACTTGATTTAAATAAGAAATATCCATTTCCTATCTTCGCTGAGTAGACAAAAGTGGTCCTAGGGGCCTCAATATTTAATTCCAATGTTAAATCAGTACAGACGTGTACACAATTCTGTACACGAAATTTGTTTGAAAAAAAACTCGTGTACAATATAATGTACACGAAAAGAAAAATGGTAAGTAAAGGAGTGTACACAATTTTGTACACACGGCACCGGGTAAAAAGTATCAAAAATCATTGTGGCAGTCAACCTGTTTTAATGAAATATAAAAATCAAATTTTAATTTAAAACTATTATAGAAAGTGTAGTAAACACCTCTACTTAGTTAAATGTTAAGTAGCCAATGTTATGGAAATATTGTTTACATCGTACATTGTATAAATTATATAATAATTATCTATCTTATATATTATATATTATCTTCTACGTCGGGATCAGAAATTAAATATTGATAATCACTAATCAGGTACCTATGAAATCGGCCTTACCATCTAGTGATAATTTTATGAAACATACCAAAAAACACCAAGTAAATTTTTATATATTTCAAGAAAGATGAAAGTTTCAAGTTTGAAATATTAAAAAGTGAAAAATTCATGTGAAATATTTTATACTCATAACCCTATTAATTATAGTATCTAACTATTACTGTATATTTTGAGAACAAATATTATTTTTTTTTTCTAATTGAAAAATAAACATTTCATATTTTTAAAATAATTTAAATATTATAACCTTGTAGAGTAATTATTGATATAAATCGATGAAGCATATTGTATACAACATAATGATTATTGACATTAGGATATTTTTCCCCTGGACATTTCCCTCAGAAAAGATTAAGAAAAGATTAAAATATATAGGCAAATATAAAAAATTAAAACTTTATTACTTCAAATATTATTAGTTACCTATTATTCCCAAATAAATTTATTTCAGTAATTTGTTTCAAAAGAATTATATTCTTTAAAAAATAAAAACCTTATCGCCCAATGAATAAAATGAACAATAGGTATAATAATACGAACATTACGACTATTTTTGTCTAATTTATCGTGTACTAAAAAATGTAAATGAGGCTAGGCGTGGATCGGTGGTTGCCGGTTGGACGTGTTCTGAACTTCTGAGGTCTCAAGCATCGACCGGCGTTGCTAGTTCCCGGATGGGTGACCACCCTGGTTTTTAGTGACGATTCCTCGCCCCAGTGCCCCACATACACGTGTTTCACAACCAACCGTAACCCCCTACTAAATGCTAATAATGGTCATAGTTTCCGATGCTTAAGGTCAATAATAATAATAATAATAATAATAAGAAAAATGCAAATTATTTATTTCACCTGAATGTGCAGTTCAAACAGCCATACATGATTTATTTTAAAATCATCAGTTACTTTTGGTTTACTTGAGTTTATAATTCTACTTAAATCACGGTTTACATAATCTATAAAGGGAGAAAATATATTTTAAATATCTGTGGGGGATGTCTTGGACATCATGTCCGAACGGCAAAATAACTATTGGAAACTGTCCCTCTTTCAGTAATTATGTATTTTACATGTTTACACGTTTTTTTCAGTTAGTGGAAACGTACAATGTGGAAATCTTCTTGGAATAATGGGCCCAAGGTAAGTGAATACTGAATAATATATTGTATTCTTGAATATTGTTTATTTTTAAATTGTATCAAATTTTTATTTTTCATTTAGTGGTTCGGGAAAAACTACTTTGATGGCCACCATAAGTCATCGAACTAAAGGTTCGTCGGGTGCATATTTGATAGCTATATCGATTTATCTCCGTTTTACTAATCGCCAGTGTTTACATACATTTTTTAGGAAATTTTGAAGGAGAACTGTTACTGAACGGTCGTCCGGTATCCGAAGAAGTGATGATTAAAATATCCGGTTTCGTTCCACAACACGACATCACTTTTGAGCAGCTGACGACTTTGGAACACTTGTATTTAATGGTATTAATATATAAATTAATTATGTTTTATCTGTCTATTAGGTGTACTTACTTCTATTTTATGTCCAATACGCTGCAATACAATTTTATTAAACAACCAAAGCCACCACCCTTGTCCACTGTTCACGAGGCAAATTTAAAATCTCAACCTTATTATATTATTCTAACGTTCCTCCCTAAATTGCCAATCTCTTTGTTGATAATATTATATAAAATATTTCCTCACACAAATGAACGAAATCTGGGTTTGAAAAAAATCCCTACAACGAATTGTGACAGTACCACCTGCATACACCCCAAATGGCGCTTCATCTCTATTCAATTTGTAATTCTATTGAAAAGTGTATATTGCTACCTGGTTATGCAGCCAGGTGTTGCAGTATATAACCCTGTTTATAACATAACTAACTATATGTCGTGGTTCTTAGGCGAATTTAAAAATGGATCGCCGCACCACCAAAACCGCGCTAAAAGCTCGCGTCGACTATACGGTCATTGCACTGGGCATGCGTGAATTTCTGGACACCACTCTGTCGATGTCATCCGGCGGTGAACGTAAGAAAGTCGCACTCGCCGTCCAGCTGCTGAACGACCCTCCGATACTGTTTTGCGACGAGGTCACTACGGGCCTGGACAGCTATTCGGCCACGCACATAGTCAACACGCTAAAGCGGATCGCGCGAACCGGTAAAATCGTGATCTGTACAATCCACCAGCCCGCGTCCGGCGTGTTCGACAAGTTCGACGAAATCGTTTTGCTGTCCAACGGACGACTGGCGTACCAGGGACCCGTTCCAATGATTAATCAACTGTTTCAAAAGTACGGTTCCTCCTATCGTTTTATTATTATTATAGATACCTAATATGTACTATCATTGAGTATAATATAAATGTTACAGTTAAAACCCGAAATCGGTCAAACCTAGTTTTAACTAGACAATGATAGTTTTCACAACCCCCTTTCGTCAAAATTGATTTTTCCTAGGTAGTTAGGACTAGAATTAACCTCAAGTTTAAATGTTTAAATTAAAAAACCAGTTTTAACTGAAATGTAGGTGTCAAAAATAAAACCTAAAACGTGCTCAAACATGGGCGATTGATACTGAATTATTGAAACTTAAGACGGAATTCTAGACAAACTTTATTGAAATTTGAAAGTATGTTCATTATCATCTTCTATTACATCAAATAAAATAAAATATAATATTTTTTATTACTTATTAGATAGTTATCAGTATAAAATGTTTTACATCGGAGTTTATTTGTTGCACAGAGGTGTTCATTGTTACAACGTAACCATCAGTTCCAGGCAATAATATTTCCCTCTGCGAAGCCTCAACAAAGCAACGACTAGGTCGAGACAAAGCTCTGTTTGCTTGCAACAAATCGCTGCTTGTGCAAAAAAAAAAAAAACATATTTTGTGGAACTATTAATGCGACGATAGTTTATCCTGTCGAAACAAATAATAAAGTTCGATTATTTATTCCAGAAATTAGGTAATACATTTCTATGATATATTTTAATATGTAGGACGTAGGTACCTACTTTTTTCCACTTTACCCTTGTTAATCTTGTTTAAGTTAAAGATACAAAATTACTTCTAAAAATCGATTTTCACGAGATAGGTAGTCCTAGTTTTTACCATTATATTTCAGACACAACTAGATCTGAAAGTAAGTTAAAACTAGTTCCAACTTTGAGGGCTCTGGTTGAAACTAGGTTTGATAGATTTTGGTGTATAACTGTAAGTCTGTAACATATTATTATACTACAATTATTATAATTATTGTACTCAAACTTAATGGTACTACGTTTAAAGGATGAATCGTCGACTGTGCTCGACAGTCAACTCCATTATAAGTCCTTTAATAATTTACAAACAAAAATACATTCATCATTCCACTCAGAATCTAATATAAAATGGGTATAATATGTAATATTAAATTTAGTCCAGTACTTATTATACTAGAACATATTTTCAAGTTATTAAATGACAATATTCTTATGTACACTATTTTACTACCCTTTACCTTCATAATATATTAATACATTAATATTAAGTAATATTACGATAATTTCCAAATTATAATTAGGTGTTATAATAATTGACATATCTACCATGTCTTCTAAATGTAAACACTTATTATCGTAGGCTCTTAGCAGTTTAGCAGTTAGTGCATAAAGTTGTACTTCTTAGAAGAAGTTTAGCTACCTACTCGTGTTTAAATTTTGATTTAGATATATTCACATTTGAAGAAAAAAATCATCTATTTAACAACTAACAAAACAAACTCCATTTCTCGGATTCAAAAATAAGTAATTTATTGCACTACAGGAAACTTCAAAAGAATCTAAGTAAAGATGTTATGTCCTTAAAATGTCCTAAAGTTAAAATTTGAAAAATGCATTATTAGAAGACAAAAAAGGGGCCATCATAGTTGGTGAATTATCCAGATTTAATATAGGTATTATTAAACTTAATAGCCAATGCGATGTTAAGGAATACTATGTAGTTGCAGCTGTGTGTAGTATCCAAGATCTGCGGTGTAAAATGAATAATATAATATATTTTCAGAGCAATTTCGTTACCTATGTGCATAATATTATACCCAGTTTGTAACACTATGATGATCATTCTTGGACACTGTAAGATATCCAAGTATTTTGTTTGTTTTTTAACTTAAATGTATTATAACTATTTATTTAGATTTAATTACAAATGCCCTGATTTGTACAACAAGGCAGATTTTGTGATTTCTATTATGAATTCCGATAATGAACAAACAAAAAGGAATGTTGATGAAATGTGCAAGTTATCTTCAACGGACAAACAAACGGATCTTAATTATGATTTATTTAATGACCAAGTAAAATAATTATAACTTTATTACGTTATAGTAATTATAAATACAATCTATACTTATTTTCATTTTCAGATACTATTGGATTATACTCAACATTTACAAATGTAAGTTATAGGCTTCTATAAAACAATAAATATAATAATAATATATTCACTTAGATTTAGAAACATACTTCATAATACCTAAACAGCTATAGGTACAACGTGCATATTATTTTATTGATAATAGATATTTGATAATGAACATTATAGTTCACAATAAAAATTAACTAATAAATGCCGCCATCCCCCACTCCGGGGCATGGCAGAAACCTACGGGTGCCCCATTCGAAATTCTGCCAAAACACAAACACTCACGTGTAAACCCCCACCAACAAAAATCCCTACCGTCACCACCTTACAACCTACTAACAGCTAATGGCCATAGATGCAGGGCTTAAGGATCAATAAAAAAAAAAATAAAAAAAAAAAAATAACCAATAAATGAACGAATATAAATAAATAGGGAGATTTTTTGCATACCCATCCTATTTTTATGCTTAAATTATAATACATAGGTAATGTATTCAACTTCTGATTTTTGAAATTCTTGAATTCTGTACTTAAAGACAATATTTTCAAATAAGTATTTCAAATTTTCAATATAGACTACTGTTTTTCCAATAGGAATATAGTTTTTCACTTTTAATTATTCAGTAAATATTTTTTTTAAGAATTTTTATGTATATAAATAAAAATTCGAACATGTAGTTTTTGAGCTACTTATATGTGTATATATTAACTGTGTACTAATGATAATATTATAACTAATATTATGTTCATGGTAATGGGTTAAATAGATTTGGGGGCTTAGATGATTTGAAAAATATGTTAGTAATTACTATAATTGATCTATCAATAAATAATAATTCGTAAAAATAACCAAAGTATAATAAATACTAGTTCCAATATTACGTCTATTTTATATTTTAATAAAACCATTTTTAAGGACTATTATTCTAAGTACAAACATTTTAAACTACTAAGAAACTACTTATCAGAATTTTGATTTGAATACATCAATATTTAAATTTTCAAGAAAATTACCCGCTTGATAATTTGCAGTAATAAAGAAGGAAAATAGAAGTTTGTATCACCTTAAGTAGTACAAAAGTAAAAAAAATATCAGGAATTTGAAAATATGGTGTTTAGGTGCACTTAAGAATTCTAAAAATGAGAATTTGAAATAATGTTCTATGAAAGGGTAAAATAAAAGTACTTATATTTAATATTTTAAAATTGAATACAAGATTCCCTATAAGTTGTCCTACCTATACCAAAAAAAAGTCTACTAGAAAATCAAATTCATTTTTTATAAGCCTTTGAAATTTTTTTGACGTTTACATAATTTTGTATGAAACGATTTTCTTATTTTGTTGTAATTTAATAATGAATATAACCGTAGATACTTTATATTTTCACCAAATGTTCATTTTATCATTTACCATACATGATAAAATTTTCAAAATATATAGACTTTTTTGAGTTATTTATATGCACAAGAACATTTTTTTTTTTTTGCTATGAACTTTAAACTCAAATTTTGCAACGTAATTCATTATTAATAACTTTTTTTATTTAGACAAAAACCATTATGGATTACACAGCTAATATTGATTTTAAACAGATCTATCATATGTCTTCTAAGAAATTACAAAGTAAAGCTACTGGAATTGGGAACTATAATGGTAATTACAATTTATTATCAAATTAACATCAAAAGATATGTTTTTTCTACATTTTAACTTTTTAATGAATTGGCTGATTAATGAGTGAAATTTTGTTTCATAATATTTAGCTGGATAGGAACTTATAATCAATAGTTATTACTTATTAGTTATAATAGTAGCTACCTAGCTAAATATTATGAAAATTAATCGAACATTTACAATATTTATATTATCCATGTTGGCTTATATATTCAATGAAATTGTGCCTTTATACTACGTGAAAAACAAATCGATACACTTAACATACCTAATATATATGTCGTACTTAGTTTCTTGGTGTCATATTATCAACGCCATATCTGGACCTGAAGTTTGATACCAAAGCCGTACAAAATTGGCAAGGGTTTTGGTTCAGTCTAATTACGAATTCTATTTTCCAATATTGTTATACGTCTATTATAACCTACCAAGCAGAATTTCCAGTTGTCCATCGAGAAGTCAGTAACAATATTTATGCATTGAGTGTATATTATATTTCTCAAATTGTCATTACGGTATGCGTTAGGAAAAAAAATGTTTAAAAGCTTTAACACCCATAAAAATAAAATTGTATTGTTTGCAGTTCATTTGGACAGTTCTTGAAACGATGATGTACACATATTTGGTGTTTTGGGTAGTAGGCGTTAACTGGGAGCTATTAATTGTGACAACGTTCGTGATAAATATGTTGATATGTAGATCATATGGTAATTTTACACTTATTAAGAAATTATAAAATAGGAAATTGAATTGTTTTTTATTTAATACCAATTACTATACTAATATTATGATTATAGGTAGTGTTCTATCAGCTTTTTTCGATAAGTTCGAAAACATTGTTATATTTTCATTGGTGTACGACTATCTTGCAGTATCTCTTTGTGGTGCATACATTTCACTTGGGTAAGCTTATAAGACATAAATACACGTTGATAATAAGCAATAACTCATAACATATGTTCGTATTTAATCATTAATCATATGGGTAAATGAGTTTATTATAAGCTACAGTTTTTGTACCTACCTAATATTTTTTTTTTGTTTTAGAACATTACCATTTATATTGTATTATTTGAAATATTTTTCAATATTTTTTCTTGGCTGTGAAACATTATCTATATTACAATGGAAAGACATCACATTCATACGTATGTTAAACAATAATTTATACTATATATTGGTACCCATAATTTGGGGATGAGAGGATTTGTCACTAAAACCCGGATGGTCACTAATCTGGGAACTAGTGATACCAGCCGATGCTTGACCTCAGAACACGTTACGATTTTAAGTATTTTAATTTCTGATTATTGATTATGTGTTTGTTATAGCATGCCTAGATGTTGATAACTGCTTGCGCGACGGCAAGGAAGTCTTATTGAGTTACGGCTACGACATTGATCGATTCAACACGGATATCATAATTTTAGGATCCTTTTACGTTGTTTTGTATATGCTTGGATATTACGGATTACTTAGGAGAACAAAAAAACAACCAGCTTATTGAAAGAAGACTAATATAGTTTATTTTGTTTTTACTGTTGTCTATTATAGATGTTTTGGTGTTTTGGTTTACTCAATAGATGCATTCATTCCTAACCCATGATTTAATGTAGGTTATCGAGTTATACCATTAACCCTAAATATATATCAACATCATTATAAATGATATACAATCGTGTATAATATTATGTTAATATCTATGAGTTGTGCACAAATATATATGGTATACGTTATTGTATTGGCGAGATTTTATTATTTGCCTTGTTAAAGTCGTTTAACATTAATGGTATTTATTATTAACTACTAAGTAATAATAATAATAATAATTTATTTTGTATTATCATTTATCTGGCGTTTATTATTAAAATTGTTTATACGTTTATACGTTTAGTGTTAAGTTGATTATTAAACTGATTTATTCTAGTTTGCAGGTAACATCTTTATATAATATTATATACAATTAATAAGTAGATAATTATTAATTTATATACTTAGGTACCAGATATATCCTATAATTCTTTATTTGTATAATGTTTACACATTCGGGGGCGTATAATTGTCCAAAATACTTATTTTACCTTTATATAATAGCGAATAGCCTATAATAGTAGTTTGAAAATTATTGTATTTTATTCCAGATTTCAGTATCTCCCTAAAAAGTAAAAACACTTGTTAACCAATTAATTAATAAAATAAAATAAATTCATTCCACAGAATTAATATAATTACATGCTTCTACTTTCTAGCATTGATTAAATGTACAAACATAATTAATAAATGCTACTATAAATACTCAATTTATAATACATGTGACAAAACTATTGGAAAAAAAAATACTAGATAAGCACTTAAGAACAGTTTCATAAGAATATGATTTTTAATGTAATACACTTATATATAGTTATATAATATTATATTCAGATTCATAATCAATATTCATAATCAACAATTTACGTTTCAAGAAATATTATCTAATATATTTAAATTTTGTATAATGTATAAGTAATAATAAATTATGACCTTTGAATAAACCTACATTACAGATTACATACTATTATGTATACAGCATGTGTTGCAATAACCAAAAAGTACTTAGTGAATATAGGTAGTGAACAAAAATAATAATTAAAATATAATACAGTGAGTACCGTTTAACGTGATCACATTGGTTCACGACATTTTCATTCTATTAACCAGTTGATTCCATAAAGTATATTTTAGCAGAGTGATATCCTGTTATTATTTTTTTTTTTTTTAATAATGTATATGAAATTATATTTTTATATTGGTGCTGTACGTGGTCTCGTGAAGAACTTTGTATTACAGTTTAAGCTTTTTTACACAAAAATGTGATGTGGCCCTCGAATAAAATTTATTATTTGTATAACATTCACGGACTAAGACAGTACCTATGGACTGTAATTAAAAAACGTTGTTTGTCTGTACCCTGTAGATACGTTGTTAAATTAATAAACCTAAGAGTTATGAATTTAAATAAATTAAATTTGATATGATTATACATTTTTGTTTAAAATAGAATAAGATATATTCAAATTGTGGCCCGTGAAAAATGTATATTTATTTTTTGACCCCGGACATCAAAAACCCGTTTGGGCTACACTATCTCACATTTTAATGGATTATAAAATATTGTATAGTTATATACTAAGTGTATACAATATACTGCACTACTGCACTGCAGTAAAGATACATATATAGTATAATATACCCATAACATAAATATATCTTATTTATCTCTGTTTTTCGTGGTATCGAACACCGGATGCTGTTAGCATTATTTCCCCTAGTCAAAATTACTTTCCCAATCATAAATATATATCTGATCGGTAACAATTCCCTGGTCTTTGCATATGAATACGTTTTGTGACTTAAATATTATTTTGCAGGAAAGAAAAATAAACTCTGTATAGCTAAAGCAATACGTTACATATTAGTATAATAGCTGCAAAAAATCTAACATACCTATCTGGCTGTCTCATTGTACTTACATCATTCGATCATTGTTATTTATTGAACTGTTGAACGTTTATAATTCTATTGCCAATAGCCAATAAGTATAAGAGCATAATATTAACATACCTACCTAGGTAGTCGATTCATCGATGTATAGATGAGCTTCATTATTACAGCTTACAAATAAAACATTATATACCTACTGATTGTACCTACATGAAATATTGTGTAGCTACATATTATAATATATAATATATATGTTATGGGCAATTGGGCAATGTGTACATTGCTCGGTCAATGTGGTTCTGCCCAGGTAATGTAAACCACAAACTTTTTTTTAGCCAACTAATATTATTTTAGATTCTGAACGGAACGACGAATGTATTGATTTTACAATGATGAGTGTTTATTTTTATTTTTTTTTGTGTCTGTCATTAAGTTTTATGGTAGTAAAAGTGCCTAGATTTTCTTCAACAGTATCTTTTCTGATAGAAAAGCAAATCTAGTTGGTACTTTGGGGGGTCAAAAGTAAACACTTTCCAGTAGTTTTATAAAGCGCCGTGAAAAACATAAGTAAAAATAGATTTACTTGTTGGTGTAACTCTAAAACAGATGACCATAGATACATGCAATATCGACTGAATGTTTATATTTTCATTTTCTATTCACCATACAATTTTGAAAATATTTTCCCTCCTTTTGAGCTGTTTACGGACATTGTCAGTTTTAAATTTTTTTAGTTTTTATTTTTTCTATAATTGTCAATAAAATTTTATTTTTTGGGTAATAATGAGTGAAAAATTAATACAAGGCTATTGATATATTGTAATAATACCAGTTGAAAAATTTTAAAAATACATACGCGCAATTTTTTTTTTTCCAAATCGAACAGGATACTGAAGTTGTAAATCGAAGCATTATTTCGACTATTTATCGTGTACACAGGCACAAAAAAAAAAATAAAAAAAAACACACATCATTGTAAAATCAATACATTCATCGTTCCCCTCAGAATCTAAAAAAAATCAATAAGTACTATAAATTATTATAAATAGGTAATAATAAAATCATAATTTATAATTTACAATAAAAATTTGAAAAATATTAGTTGGTTAAAAAAAATGTATACGTTACCCGTGACATATACATATTATATAATTGTATAGTAAGTATATTTAATATGTGATATGTAGCTAACCTATCTATAAAATATATTTTCTAATATTATCAAATCTATACTATTAGGTACGGTTTTCTACGACCGCGTCAACCAAGAAAACTACTGAACTCCTGATTTGGCTGAAATGTTTTACTGTTTTACCTTACGGTCTGCTGAAGGTTTTAGTACCACTTTTGTTAATAAAAAATAAGTGTAAAGTTCTTGAAAAATTAAATATAATCCTTATATATTTATATTATATATATAAAAGAACAGCCTTTTTTTATGTTCCAATTTTGTGACTACACTATTTAATATTCTTCCAATGTTTTTTCACAGAGTTGTTCCCACTGATCACTGTATTTCAAATACTACTCAAGGTATAAACTTGAAATTTGGAATAGTGGTTCTTCTAATACTTTCACCGTGAAATAAGAAAGGATTTGCCGAAATTCGCATTTTAAATAGGTGCTCAAACAGGGACTTAAGGTTTTTATGGACATTTTATTTATAATAGTTGCCATTGGTTACAGTTAACAGTAGAAATTAGTGCTGATTTATTATCAGTTGCCAATTTTTATTTGGGTAGATCAGGTACAAGCTTGCATCTTATCGAATTATTGAACATTGCCTACCAAGGTGAAAGAGTTGCCATACCTAACCTACCAGAATGTCTGAGTTGCACTTATTGCAGTAAGTTACACCCAAAAGTAGTTGAACAATCATATTTTTTTAAGATTTACGATTTTTTACGGGCAACGAAGTGCAAGGGTTCTGCTATAAAAATATATTTACCATTAATACCGCTATAGAATAATAGAAACATTTCAATAAGTTTTCATTAACCGTTTTTTATATTTACTTGCCGATCACATCAAACGATTAAATTTGAATAAAAAATTATACATATCATCGTCCGAAGGCAAAATAAACAACCAATCACAGGTGAAGCTGTGACGGGTCGGCTAGTGATCAATAAAATAAAAAGTGTACATCAACTTGATTTTTTACGTAGAGACCTATAGGCTAAAACGAGATAAAAATAGTATGTAATAGCTATTTCTTTTTGTTCATATCTTGCGTAATAACAACGTAGATTGCTCTCGTACATGATCTAACTATACGATAGTTTGACATAGACACACAGTTTAACTGTAAAGTGTAGAATGAATGCAGGAGAGTTGTCCCGTCATTTTCTGTAAAATGGATCACTTAAAAGGTCGTGTGGCCGTGGTCACAGGCGCTAGCGCCGGCATCGGGGCAGCAACAGCTATTAAGCTGGTCAAGGCTGGCCTTACAGTGGTGGGAATAGCTAGGAGGCTACAAAGACTTCAGGTACCTACATTTTAATATATTTTCTTCATCAAAGACCCCATAAAAATCCACTACATTTTACACAAAAAATCCCTATACATTTATACAATTCGAGTACCTATATCATAGTTAATATGTATATATATTTCTTCAAGCTCCAAACGGCTGCACCAATTTTTATGAAATTGTTCGTGTTTTTGAGTGGTTCCTTGAATGTTTTAGATTCACAATTGGACGAGGTAGGCTCAATCCGGGTAGGTGTCAAAACAAGGATTTTGAGATTTACGATGGAAATTTTTGTTTATAAATCCCTATTTTATAAACACAGTTACAGACTACAGTTTTACCTAAATATTTTTATTTTCCTCAAAACGCTCGTTAAACAATTACTAAAATATAGTTATTTGTTGTTCTGTATGTTATACCTAACATTTTAATAGTATTAGCATCATGAAAAATCACAAGACAAAAATTAAAACGGTGCACAAGTGGGTACCGTTCCGCTGTACAGTAGGTGTCGAGCATGTCGTTATAATGGATGCGTGTTATAATATGTATTGAATTCAATGATAAATCATTGTATAAGAAAAATGATTCTGAGCAGAGAACTAAAATACTTGTATTCTAATTGTAATAAAATTAAATAGTTAAAAATATGATTTACAAAATTTGAAAAATGTCTCATGGCTATAAATAGCTCAAAAAGAATCAAAATAGTTTGAAAATGTTACCATATACCTATGGAAAAGGATCATTTTAACATTTGGTGAAAATTTTAAGCGTCTACGGACTACGGTTATTAACGTATGGGTTACACAAAAAAATAAAATCAATTTTTTCAAAAATTGATTTTGCGTTAAAGTTACTACTTTTAACACTTTTTTCGGTTTTCTTGAAACTAGGAAACTAGTCAAAACTAGGAATTTTCAATTTTTAGCTTTCAATAGTACCAACTAAATTCTTTTTTCTATCAGAAAAGATGTTGTTCCCGAAAATTGAAGCATTTTTATTACCCAAAATGTGGCTGAAAGACACACATCAATGTTAATCAATAGGTATACATTCTTTCGCTCTACTGACCGATAAGTAGATTACCAAAATCTATACTTTTTCTTTGTTATCAATATGGAAATAAAAGTTCATATTTCTCAACTAATTTATTATCAAAAAAATTAGTATATTGAGGATGTACATATCAAATATTGATTTATTTTTTTATAATATAAGAAACTCTCTTATCAAGCGTATGGGGTGCTGCAGCCCCCTAGCAATCCTGGCCCCTTGTACACGAGGCCCCTGATAGAAAGTGAAGTTAGTTCAATAAAATTATCTTCAGACCTTCAGTTAAAAGTTAACAAAAACAATTTAACTTGATAAGTTTAAAGTTAAGATAGAAAAACAAATTAACTTAACTTGGTTAAAAAAAGCTAAATTTTTCAAGTTACAATATTTTTAAGTCATTAATACTCTAACAAAATCTTGAAAATGTAATAGATGATTCCTCTTAATTAGTTCGTTCTTAAATCAAAACATCTAAAAAATATACAAGAATTTTTTTTATTTAAACGTTTGAAGTTTAAATTTGGATTAAATTAGATTTCGTTGAATAACGATTTTAGTTTTTGTAATTCAAAAATAGTATTCAAAATAAACACATACATCGCACATTTTAGCATCCCTTATAATACTCATTTTATATAATACTATTATGGTATTCTATATAGTTATCGCTTACGTGGATATTAAATTATAATAAAATTATACTTTAAAATTATTTAGGATTTGAAAAAAACGATGGAAGAAAAAAATTTCAGTGGTCGGTTTTTTACAGTGGCGTGTGATTTGACGAACGAAACAGACATATTGAACGCTTTCAAATGGATTGACGAAAATATTGGTGGTATACATTTTATGATCAACAACGCCGGAATAATAAGGATATCTAAACTTCTAGGTAAGCTGATAATCATTATGACTTCACAAGGAAAAAATATATGTATTTCCCATTTAATTGTCTATTTCAAAATGTGACACGTATCGAACGGATCAGCTATCTACCCTAAAAAATGTATCATTTATACCATCTCCTTCATCTAAAGCGGTGCACCAATAAGTCTTGCCTCCATTTCAATTTAAAACTTATAAGACATATAATAGGTACTGTTGCCATAAATATTAAAATTGCCATCCTTCAATCACACCATAATAATTGTTACTAATGATTATTTTTATATATTCCGAATTATAATATTTTTGATACATAATTGTCCATGCACAATTGTATTTTACAGACGGTTTGACAGAACATTGGCAAGAATTAATTAACTGTAATGTAATAGCACCTACAATTTGTTCGAGGGAAGCTTATAAACTGATGAAGAAGTATAACGTTAGTCATGGACATATTATACAAATAAACAGGTGGATAACATAAAACATAACTATTATCATTGAATATTGATTATACATATACTATACTATATTATACATTATACATATACACTATGCATAATCAATGCTATATTATGGATTGATATTTACATGTTCCCAACGTAATAATTTAAAAAACAATTTTATTGTGTTAAATATTATCAACAACAGACTCTCGATATAAAATAAAATTTGATATAGTAAAGGGTAGGACATCGATTTGACGTTTAAATAATTGTCTGTGGGATTCATTAGTGATTATAGTGATTACGTATACCTCCTAATCGGGCCAATACATGCTACAACATGCATTTTGTGAACATTTTATCAAAGTTGAGTTATTAATAAATTTATATTATTTTAGAATAATATTACTCTTGCCTCTTATTATTTTTACATATACGTAGACGTATCGAGTTCCAACCATTTTCATGCTCTATATAGTTGATCTAAAATATATTCTATAGTTAATACTTAATTTCACTCTCGAGTTTTGTATTGCACATCAGTATATTAATATATGATTGTAGTATTATAGACAGCTTAGGAATTTTTCAGCAACCCAATTTTAAGCTATTGACACTATCATTGATTGTATAGTCTGTAGATACCCATATGCAGGTACACTGTCTGTTCTTCTCCAATAGTATTAAATTTCAATCGGTTTCAGTATAACGGGCCATTCGTATTCAATTAATCCGGGCAACAAGATGTACAATGCGTCCAAACAGGCTCTTAGAGTGCTGACCGAAGGCCTCCGTCACGAATTGGCCGTGGCCGGTGATGGCCACATCAAAGCTTCCGTGAGTTTGTTCACCCATATTCAGTGGTGTATACTTATACAGTTATACATCTACATCTGGGTGACCTTATAACTGACCAAAAAACCATTTCAGAAAAAAAAAGACAGGTCCAAAAAATGTCAGGACGGGTTTTATCTCTCCCTTCGTTGGTACGCCACTGCCCATTCACGACTTCAATCACTACGCTCAATATAATGTTCTGATATTAATTTTGAAAGTAGATTTGAATTTGTCACTAAACTATCTATGCTTTGACAATTTTATTTTTTATTTTTTACTTAAAAATTTACTAACAAAAAGAGTAAAATTAGATCATAATATATTCATAATTCAAATTTAAATACATTTGATACGGTACACGTTTTGATGGTGTGCAGCCGTTAGTTATGAATATAAATTTGTCGGTTTAAATCTGTATAATATTCATTTTATCTCAACAAGATGGCAAAATGTATTCTATGTTACATACAATAGGGGAATAGAGTTATTCTTTCGATCACAGCATACCTTGGTGGACTAACGCCATATATTCCGTGCATTTTATTTCATTGTAAAGGACTACATATTTTTATTACATAATTACTCCAGTACAATGATGGACGGAATCGGTAGTTTGATTTAGCCCCACTTAAATAAGTAGCGTCTAATCAGCCACTTGTGGGGGACTTGTTTTATAATATGTGGCTGTCCTGAAAAGGACATATTTTTATTTATTCCGAGACTAGGTTGTCTGGTGTAGTTTCCCTTGATTGAAAAGATGTTGAAATGAACTTGTCCTCCTTACCAGTCGTTGGTCACTCGCGTCCTGTCACGATAGTGTTTAACTACGGTTTGAATCGCCAAGTTAACTCTCATAATGATACACGGGGTTGATGGCACATCGATTATCCGCGCCGGAGTTCTGGTATATATACCATTCCCTGACGTCAGATATAACGAGAGGTTACCACCGCTATTACTCCGTGTATTTATTAATTAATGACAACCCGTGGCGATTCGTCCATGGGAAACTACCATGCGTCCATGCCTGGTGGGACAGTTCCCAGGGTACCAAGGTGGTTTGCAGCATGTTAAACGTCGGAATTTTACGATGTGCAACATTTTTTGGTATCCTGTAAACAAAATTATTTCATTAATACTATTTTACGGTTCGTCGCAGAGCATCAGTCCCGGTTTTGTTGACACAGAAATATTTGATGCTGCCAAACAGACGCACAGTAAAATGAAGGCGTCAGAAATCCTGAGCGCAGAGGAAATGGCCGATATGATATGTTTTGTCATGTCAACCGGACCAAATATATTGGTAACTAAAATTATTTAAAATATGCATTCCTTATATCGTCTGCATTCAAACGTTGTCTTTGGATGTTGTTACTTTATATTAGGATGTTAGGTCAAATCAAATTAAACATTATTTATTAAATTCGCATCAAATAGAACATATTTTTTTTTACAGATCGCTGAAATGATTGTGTTAAGCCAAGGTCGTTGCATACAATCGTACCCACGTGCATAAAGCATCAAACCGTAAAGTCCTATGATTCTCTATATTATATAATATGTTTGAATATTATATATGATCACATCATAATAATGTGCAAAAATGAATCCATGTACCAATCGAGTTTTCACTTTATCAGAAAGTTCTAGAAATTATTATATTTATAGTTATTTTATGGCTACTAAAGTCGTTTACAGTTTGCGTTCTAATAATATTAAATACTAGCAGGTGTTACACGGTCAAGTTATGTCAGTTTTAAAAAATTAAACGTTAACCTATTAAAATATATAGCATGGGTATAAATAAGAAATTAGAATAGGAAATATAAGAAAATAACAATGAGAAAACAATAGAAATTATTAAAATTATTAATTATTATATGGATAATATCTATTAATTTTACTAATAATTAATAAATTGATAGAATTTGTATTGTAACGTGCTGGTTATTAATATCTAGTTATGCCGATATTACAATGACTATGTACTCGTGATTTATGATTTATTGTCACGTAGTAACTACAGTATTGTAATTATCGGTAGTATTTCATTCCAGAAGGTCCGGGCATATTATACACATCTGCTCCACTATAATTTCAATTAAACCATTCTTCAAATCTAGAATAAAAATTGAATTACAACAACATAAGAACGAATTTGTTAATTTACGAGTAAATATGGGTGGGACCGTATTTGACCAAAAATGTACCCTTCCCTCTTTGGCCAAAACAAAAAGATCAATAATAATTAATATTACATACTTTAGGTCTTTATATGTTATACTTATAGAAAATTATTAAATATATATTTTACCTAAGTTGCATAAAAAAAAAATTAAATAATTAATAATAATTATATACCTATATGATAATTGTTGTTACATTTTAAAATGTTATTTATATATTTTACACATTATAATATAATGTAACTTATACTTTTAATAATTTTCAAAATTATATTTGCAATCATTTTACAAAAATTATATATAATTATAGTATAATTATAATTATTTATTATCATATTATATATTTATTATCGTTTCATTGTAGTCGAAAAACGATTCTGAGCGGAGAAGATTTCTCAGTGTGGATATTTTATAGGTATTATATTTACTTATTATTAATGTGGTAGCCGGTAAGTTGAATTAGTATTATAAATTTAAAAGAAAATAACTAAAATCGTTATTCTTGGTTATTTAATATGTAATTTCATCCAAATTTGAACATAAAATAACTATGAAAAAAATGTATGTCTATATATTTTTTTGGTTACAGGGTTACGTGGAACCTTGTTTTAAATTTTCAATTAAATGTTTAACAACAAAATCAGTTTTAGATTCTGAGTGAAACGATGAATGTATTGATTTTACAATGATGTGTGTTTTTATATTTATTTTTTTATTTATTTTTTTTTGTGTCTGTGTACACGATAAGTAGTCGAAATAATGCTTCGATTTTCGACTTCAGTATCTTGTTCGATTGGAAAGTGAATATCGTTGGTGCATTGGGGAGGTCAAAATTTAAATTTCCCAGTAGTTTTCAAGAGCGCCGGGAAAAACAACATAAAAATTAAGGAAAAACGGGAATTTTTACGCAAAATCGGTTTTCCAAAAAATCGATTCTGGTTTTTGGTGTAACTTTAAAACAAATGACCGTAGATACATGAAATTTTCACTGGTTGTTTATATTTGCATCTTCTATACACGATAACATTTTCAAAATATTTTGATTTATTTTGAACAGTTTAGGGACATTTTCATTTTTCGTTTTTTTTTAGTTTTTTTTCTAGAAATATCAATAAAATTTTATTTGTTGGTTGCGAAAGCTTGAAAATTTAATAGAAGGCTCCTAATATATTGTTTCAAAGGCAGATGAAAAATATTAAAAATCCTTAGTCACAATTTTTTTTTATAAGCATTTAAAGTTCAAAAATTGACAAAATATGGAAAAATCACGAAAATTAGCAAATTATTTTGAGTTAAGAATTCGTAAAAATTTTTCTTTTTAAATCTAAGATTTGAAAATCTAATACAAGATTACTCATAAGATTGTCTACCTTTATCAATAAAAAAATCTCTACCGGAAAGTCAAATTAAATTTTTATGAGCGTTTGAAATTCAAATTTTTACAACATTGGATATTCATTCGATTTCTCATGTGGCAATTTCCTTTTTTTGTTGTAATTAAAAAACGAATTACTGTAGATACATGAAAATTTCACTGAATGTTTATATTAGCATTTCCTATACACCATACAATTTTGAAAATATTTTGACTCTTTTTGAGCCGTTTACGGACATTTTCAGTTTTCAATTTTTTTAGTTTATTTTTTCTATAAATATCAATTAAGTTTTATCTGTTGGGCCAAAAAGTGTAAAAATTTAATACAAGGCTCCTGATATATTGTTACAATATCAGTTGAAAAATATTAAAAATACATAGGCACAATTTTTTTTTATAAGCGTTTTAACATCGAATTTTGACAGAATTTTTCAAAATCTCGAAAATTATTAATCATCGTAATTAATAAATTATAAAATGTTCAGTTTTTATAGCTAAGGATTGAAAATTTAAAACAAGATTCTACGTAAGTAGTTAATTCTCTTACCGAAAAATCTAAAAAATATACAATCACAGTTTATTTTTATAGTCATTTTATGTTCAAATTTGGACGAAATTTCATATTAAAAAACCTAGTTATTTTGTTGTGATTATATAATATTATTCGTGGGTACGGGGTACCTACTTGAAACTTCTAAAGTGTACTATTATATATCTATGATAGTATCAGGGTTTGTTATTGATGTTGATGTATAACATGTTATAAGTACCTAATGGATATTGTGATAATGTGATATGATTAATTTGGAATTTATTATAAGTCAATTTTTTTTTAATACCATAGATATGTATATAATTTGTCTTAAACCTAGACTGACATACCGTCTTCGCTCAGAATCGTTTTTCTTATACAATGATATTGTATCATTGAATTCAAATTTAAAAGCATCCATTATACAGTGATCCACTTGTAACCTACTGTACAGCAGAGCGACATCCACTTACCCACCTTTTTAATATTATATTTGATAAATGTTGTAAAAAATCAAACTTTAAATGCTTATAAAATAAAATTGTGCCTATGTAGTTTTAATATTTTTTAATTACTATTGTACCAATATATCAGCAGCCTTGTATTAAATTTTCAAGCTTTTTGACCCAACAAATAATATATTAACATATATAAAAAAGGTGGGTAAGTGGATGTCGCTCTGCTGTACAGTAGGTTACAAGTGGGTCACTGTATAATTGATGCTATTAAATTTGAATTCAATGATACAATATCATTGTATAAGAAAAACGATTCTGAGCGAAGACGGTATGTCAGTCTAGGTTAAGACAAATTACATACATATCTATGGTATTAAAAAAAAATTGACCTATAATAAATTCCAAATTAATCATATCACATTATCACAATATCCATTAGGTACTAATAACACGTTATACACCAACAACAAACCCTGATACTATCATATATATATAATAGTACACTTTAGAAGTTTCAAGTAGGTACCCACGAATAATATTATATAATCACAACAAAATAACTAGGTTTTTTAATATGTAATTTCGTCAAAATTTGAACATAAAATGACTATAAAAATAAACTGTGATTGTATATTTTTTAGATTTTTCGGTAAGAGAATTAACTACTTACGTGGAATCTTGTTTTAAATTTTCAATCCTTAGCTATAAAAACTGAACATTTTATAATTTATTAATTACGATGATTAATAATTTTCGAGATTTTGAAAAATTCTGTCAAAATTCGATGTTAAAATGCTTATAAAAAAAAATTGTGCCTATGTATTTTTAATATTTTTCAACTGATATTGTAACAATATATCAGGAGCCTTGTATTAAATTTTTACACTTTTTGGCCCAACAGATAAAACTTAATTAATATTTATAGAAAAAAAAAACTAAAAAAATTGAAAACTGAAAATGTCCGTAAACGGCTCAAAAAGAGTCAAAATATTTTCAAAATTGTATGGTGTATAGGAAATGCTAATATAAACATTCAGTGAAATTTTCATGTATCTACAGTAATTCGTTTTTTAATTACAACAAAAAAAGGAAATTGCCACATGAGAAATCGAGTGAATATCCAATGTTGTAAAAATTTGAATTTCAAACGCTCATAAAAATTTAATTTGACTTTCCGGTAGAGATTTTTTTATTGATAAAGGTAGACAATCTTATGAGTAATCTTGTATTAGATTTTCAAATCTTAGATTTAAAAAGAAAAATTTTTACGAATTCTTAACTCAAAATAATTTGCTAATATTCGTGATTTTTCCATATTTTGTCAATTTTTGAACTTTAAATGCTTATAAAAAAAAATTGTGACTAAGGATTTTTAATATTTTTCATCTGCCCTTGAAACAATATATTAGGAGCCTTCTATTAAATTTTCATGCTTTCGCAACCAACAAATAAAATTTTATTGATATTTCTAGAAAAAAAACTAAAAAAAAACTAAAAATGAAAATGTCCCTAAACTGTTCAAAATAAATCAAAATATTTTGAAAATGTTATCGTGTATAGAAGATGCAAATATAAACAACCAGTGAAAATTGCATGTACCTACGGTCATTTGTTTTAAAGTTACACCAAAAACCAAATTCAATTTTCTGAAAAATCGATTTTGCGTAAAAATTCCCGTTTTTCCTTAATTTTTCTTTTGTTTTTCCCGGCGCTCTTGAAAACTACTGGGAAATTTAAATTTTGACCTCCCCAATGCACCAACGATATTCACTTTCCAATCGAACAAGATACTGAAGTCGAAAATCGAAGCATTATTTCGACTACTTATCGTGTACACAGACACAAAAAAAATAAATATAAAAATAAAAAATAAAATAAAAAAAAAAATAAAAAAAAAAATAAAAAAAAATAAAAAAAAAAATAAAAAAAAAAACACACATCATTGTAAAATCAATACATTCATCG